CCTTCGGCTCAGGTCATGATCTCAGGGTCCTGGCATCGAGCCCCACATCAGGCTCTCTGCTCAGCGGGGAGCCTGCTTCCCCCTCTCTCTCTGCCTGCCTCTCTGCCTACTTGTGATCTCTGTCTGTCAAATAAATAAATAAAATCTTTAAAAAAAATAATAAAAAAATTTTTTTAAAGAAGTTAACTGGAAATTGATCAACAACCAAAATATAAGAGCTAAAGCCATACACCTTGTAGAAGAAAACGTGGGGTTCAATCATTATGACACTGGCTTTGGCAATAGATTCTAAGATAGGACATCAAAAGCACACAGAACAAAAGAAAGATAGATTAACTGGATCTTCATCAAAAGTTAGAATCTTCTGGATGCCTAGGAGGTTCAGTCAGCTGAGCGTCTGCCTTCAGCTCAGGTCATGATCCGAGGGTCCTGGGATCGAGTCCCACATTGGGCTCTCTGCTCAGCGGGGGACCTGCTTCTCACTCTGCCTGCTGCTCCCCCTGCTTGTGATCTCTCTCTCACTGACAAATAAGTAAATAAAATCTTAAAAAAAAGAAAAGTTAAAATCTTCATGGGGCGCCTGGGTGGCTCAGTTAGTTCTTCAGGCACCTGACTCTTGATTTTGGCTCAGGTCATGATCTCAGGTCCTGGGATCAAGCCCCAAGTCAGGCTGTGCACTCAGTGTGGAGTCAGCTTGGGATTCTCTCGCTCCCTCTACCCCTCCCCCACTCGTGCGCATGCAGGCGCGCTCTCTCCCTCTCTCTCTCTTAAATAAATAAATAAATAAAATCTTTAAAAAATAAAACAGCTATAATTTTTTTAAGTGAAAAATAGCAAGTACTGTCAAGGAGGTGGAGAACTAGGAACCCTTATGCATTGCGGGCAGGAACAGAAACTGACGCAGCCACCATGGAAAACTCTTCTGTTTTGGAAAACTCAAAGAGCCAAACACAGAATTACTCTATGATCCAGCAGTTCTACTCCTAGGTAGCTAGCAAAAGAACTGAAAGCAGGAAGTCAGCTAGATATTGGCACATCCGTGTTGGCAGCAACATTATTCCCCAAAACCAGAAGATGACTGAATGTCCATCAACAGAGGAGTGAATAAACAACATGTGGTTTGCACATACAGTGGCATATTATTCAGCCATGAAAAAGGAATACAGTTCTGATACATTCTACAACACAGGTGAACCTTGCGAACTTTATGCTAAGTGAACGAAGCCAGACACAAAAGGACCAATATTGTATGATTCCACTTACATGAGGTCCCTCGAAGAGGCAGATTCATAGAGACAGGAAGTAGAATAGAGGTAACCAAGGGCTGGGGACAGGGGGAATGGGGAGTTAGTGTTTGATGGGGACCGAGTTCCTACTTGGGGATGATGGAAACTTTTGGGAAATAGATAGTAGTGTTGATTGCACAACACTCTGAATACACATAATGCCACTGGTTTGTAGTCTTAAATATGCCAAGCATTATGTTATATGTATTTCATCACAATTAAAAATTTTCCAAAAAGAGGGGCCCCTTGCTGGCTCAGTCAGTAAAACATGCAACTCTCAATCTCAGGGTCACAAATTTGAGCCCCATGTTGATCATGGAGCCTACTTTTTAAAAAAATGCGGGTTTTTAAAATTTTTTTTCAAAAAAGAAAAAAAGAAGTCACAGTGCCTCCTAAGGTTTAGGCTTAGAACTAGCGCAGCATTGGGGTGCCTGGGTGGCTCCGTGGGTTAAAGCCTCTGCTTTCGTCTGGGGTCATGATCCCGGGGTCCTGGGATCGAGTCCCGCATAGGGCTCTCTGCTTCAGCGGGGAGACTGCTTCCTCTGCTTTCTCCCTCCTCCTGCCTCTCTGCCTACTTGTGATCTCTGTCTGTCATATAAATAAATAACATCTTTATAAATAAATAAATAAATAAAACTAGCCCAGCATCATAAATGCTGGGCTAGTTCCTAAGAACAGGTGACAAGCTAGCACAGATTCAAGTGACAAGAAAACAGATTCTACTTCCTCATAAAAGGAGCTACAGATATTGTGGCTTCCCCCCACCATGAGAAAAATGAGGTCTAGGCTCACACTAGTCAATGTTCATAGCAAATGACTTTTGAGTCCAAAGTTTAACCCAGAAAAAAATTTTGATCGTGCTAAAATTTGTTATCAGTGAAAAACTGAGAGAAGAGTCTTTTAATAAATTCAAATGTGCAAAATTTGGCTCTGGAAAAATGACAACCACACACCAAAAAAATCACAGCAGTAGAATTAACAGTTGGTGAAAATTGGACAAAATGAGCCTGATTAATGAATCGAATGTTTCAAAAAAATCACATGGGAAAAAAAATGTTCCTGATAAAGATGATTTCAATCAAGTAAAAATGAGCATAGAAAAAAAAAAATTGGGAACAGTTTAGCTGCACTAAACAGAAAAGTGATCCAGGAATCTAATTGGCTAAATGCAGTTTGTGATTCAAAAGTATTTTCCAACAGAAATGTGTTGGATTTTTTTTTCCACTGTGCTTATAAAAATGGAATCAAAGTGTCCCCAGAATAAAATCCTCCTTTGTGTGAAAATGGCAATGTGAGGACAAGAGGGTCAAATGTGCAGTGCATCTTTCTTGGGTTTGATTTTATTCTCCAGACACCAGATGCTGCTAATCTCCCAGGCAAGGCCCCAGAAATGAACTGGTGGTGACCCCTTTCTGGGGCACCCTGGACCCCGCCCAGACATGTGACTCTCTAGACCCCTTTGTCTCTCACATCCCTGCTACCACTCCGGGTTTTTCTGTTCTTGGGAAGGTGTGGTCACACCAAACTGTTCTTTCCTGTGGGGAAAACCTCTAAAAACCCAGGTAAACCCCAAGACTTCGGCCCTTATGATGACTCCTCAGTTCCCCACACTAAGGGACCACGGGCAGCCAACATAAAGGTTGTCCCTTGCTGGTCACTGGATCCCTACCATGTCTTGCCATTATTTTTACCTTCCTGACTTAAGGCCCACCTTGCCTTGCATTTCAAACCATCCCCGTGCAGGTCTATGGCACCCCCCCCCCAAGCCCACCCAGAAATCAGGGGACGATGTCAATGAGATTCATTTCAGCTTCATACTCTGCAAATTCAAAGTCACCTTATAACTTTGTCAGGACTATGAAATGCCCAGCAGAGAAGCTGACTTTAAAAGAAGGGAGGTAAAGATGTGTTCTTTAAAAAAAAAAAAAAAAGAAAAAGAAAAAAAAGGGAGAGGGGATACGGGCATGTGGGGGAAAGGAATGCATTACATTTATTTTTACCACTGGAGTTTTTAGAAATATGTTTTGGGGCTTTTCTTACAGTTCCAGAATTTTAATAGATGCAATGTAGATAGTAAGAGATAGAGAGGCAAAGAGGGTGCGGACAGATTCAGAGAGTTAGGCAGGGGCAGAGAGGATACACAGTGGCGGAGAGGATACGGACAGAAGCAAAATGCAGATGGAACAAAGTGTAGACAGAGGCAAAGAGAGATGGCCAGGGACAGGCAGCGAACAGATGTCAGCCATTGCTCCCCAACCCAGATAGAAGCCCCTAGTACTTAGAAGGTTGAGGTCTCAGACACGCCCCCGTCTCCGTCCCAGCCCTCCCACACCCATTTCTGCCTCCTCGTTTTCAGGCCCCATCCTGAACTTACAGTGTTACCCTCTCTTCTGTGACAGGGTCCTTCCCTGCCCCACCCACTCCAGGGCCCACCCCTTGGGGTGGAATCCTGTCCTTTTTGCTAAGTCTGGCCTGCTGTCCGTGACTGTCCCTACATGATCCTCCCCAGCCTGAGTGACACTCCCCCACCCTTTTCTTCCTTGTTGAGAGTCTCAGGCCTACCCTTCATTTACTCATTCATTCATCAAGCATTTATACTTAGTTTCCACCAGCCAGGCCCCTCCTCAACAACGCTGTGGACCCCGGGGAGACCCGACCTAAGGCCCTGCATCACCCCCACCCGCCCCCCCGCCCCCCAGGAGGAGGATGGGAGGGCCGGGTAAGCAGTGATGATACAGCTTGATCAGAGTTTTAACAGGGGATCGTAAGGCACTGTGAGCCCCAGAGAAGACACTCAAGCAAGCCTCGTCTAGGTTAGGGGACGGGCCTGAGCCTTGGACGTGACCCCACCCCCAACAGCCCCGCCCCCGGCACCGAGCCGGGCTCAAAAATGCGGTCGCATCACCGCCCCCTCAGCCTGCCAACACCCCTTCTCAGACCCAACCCATTAGCCTCTCCCTTACTGGCCCCGCCCCATTGTTGGTCTAGGTCACGCCCCCCTCAGCCCCTCCCCTATTTCATTCAATGCGGCCTCAAGCCCCACCGCCCGGGAGGCCAACCTCAAACCAATATCATGATTCCATTGGCCAAACCGTGTTACTGCACCGCCTTCCTTCAGTGTTATTGGGTCCCTAGGTGTCAGTCTTCTTTATAGAGTCCCAACAGTTGCCAAGGCCGAGATTTGAGGGGCAGATAATAATGGACGGCTCAGGACGGCTAGTTATTGGGCGGAAAGCCCGGCTCTGGGCGGGGCTTAGAGCCAAACGCTTGGCTGCCTCCATCTGGGGTTCTTCAGGGCCGCAGCCTTCCCTCAGAGACACACCCCTCACTCCTTGTTATTGGTGCCGCCAAGTGTTGCTCAACAGCATTCCACATTTCGATAGGCAAAACCACCCGTCCTTCACTGCTTTCCTAATTTCAATTTGCTTCTCCCCTTAGAGGCAGCAACCTTCTGGCCGTAGCCAGGGCCCTCCTCACGGAATGGCTACGGATTGGCCCGGCACCCCGTCACTCCTGAATAGTGGGCGGAGCCAGGGTGCCTGGGGGCGGCGAATTGGCTGACTGGACCTCGGGGGCGGGGCAGCCGCTCCTGTCAGCGGGTGAAATGGCAGCGGCAGAACCGGCGGCGGCCGCGGTCCGGGGGGGCGGCTGAGGGGGCCGGGCCGGGGCTGCGGGGCGAGCAGCACGGCGGGGATCCAGCGGCGCGGCCCGGGACAGTGAGGCTCGGCACGGCGATGGCGGCGTGCTCGGCGCAGGTAGGCAGGCGGCGCGGGCCCGGCCTCCCGGGCCCCTTCTCAGGCCGGCGGCTCCGCGCTGCGGCCCGCGGGGGCCCGGCAAGACCGGGACTCCGGCTGCCTTGCCACGGAACCCGCGCTGGGAGCCCTCGGCACTCCCGGCACGGATCCTGGCCGTCAGTCTTAGGCCCAGGCCCCCGCCCACCCTCGTTCCGGATGCCTCCGGACCCCTCGGGGCCCCTCCCCCGTCCCTTCCGGGCGCCCCCTCCCCCATCCCACCCCCTCTCCAGGGTCGTCACCCCGTCCCCGGCCGTGACCCCCGCCCACCCTTTCCATAGACCCTCAGGACTCCTCCCAGACCGTTCAGGGCTCGCCCAGCCCCCACCCCGCAGACCCGCCCCCCAAGGCGCCCCCCCCCTCGCAGGCCGAGGACCCCCGCCCTCCCTCTGTCCGGATCCCTCAGGACCCATCCCATCTGCAGACCCCTTGCCACCCCATCCCTCCCCTCACTTCTCATCCTATCTCTGGGCCCAGACCTGCCCGCAGCCCCAAGGCTAAGAGCCTCAGAACCCTACCCCTCCGTTCCAGCCCCGCAGGACCCTTCCCTTGGCCTCTGTAAATCAGGATTCCTCCCCGCAGGCCTCCCCTCAGCCTGCTGGCCCATCTCTCACCCCCGGCAACCCCATGCCAAGGGCACCAGCGGAAAAAAAATCACTCCTCAGGCTCCTCCCAGTACACTCCAGCAGCCCCACACACACCCCTGAGTCTGACTCGTCCCAAAAACCCACCTCCTGCTCAGGACCTCCCAACAGATATTCGGAACGCTCTTCAGGTGCAGGGGCACACATCTTCTGAGAGCCCCACGCTCACACCTGTGTGCCCCTCCCCACACACTCACATCTGCAAGCCAGCAGTGTTCAGAGAGAGAGATGGCTGTGAACCCTGGACAACTCATACACACAGACATCCAGGAGCCCCCGGTCTGCAGTGGGCACGTGTGCACACACACACGCGTGCGCGTGCACACACACACACACGCACACACAGCTACACTTGGATCCCCAGCACACACACAGGAACTCAGACTTCCAACACAGACCCAGACAGTTGGGCCCTCCCTTCCCCCACACACAAACACACTCTCACACACAGGACTCCTTGCACTTTCACACACCTCCGAGGATCCCACCTGCCCAGGTCCTCCTGTGGTGCTCAGAGCTCCCAGCTCAGGCCCACTCGGAGACACGAGCTGCCCACCCTGCCCCAGGCAGCCAGCCTGCCCAGCCACACCAGCCTCCCTGACCTCGTATCCCCATCGGGGCCGGAAGGGTGGCAGGGTGACCCAGAATCTCCCAGCACCCCTGTGGACACCTGCCCCGGGCCTCTTCCCCTTCATCTGTCTCTCCCTGCTTTGCCCTTCTTCAAAGGGAAGGGCACTCACTCTCCCTCCTACACTGAAGTCTCCCAAAGGGAAGCACAGGCTGCCCTCTGATTGATGCCACCCCCTGGTGGGGAGGGGGAGTTCAGGCTGCTCCCGAAGTCCGACCAGACTGGTAGGACCAGCATCCTGACCGTGTCTCGCCCACTGGCCTCAAATGGCAGGGCCTGCACCATTGCCGGGGGCAGCCCCGGATAGCCCGCGTGAGTTCCTTCACCCACGACCAGTGTGTCATGCCAAAATGAAACGGCTTCCTTCTCTCCTGGCATTTGGGACCCGGTGGGGCTGGGTTGGGGCTTGCCAGAAGCAGACAGCTCTTTGTTAAGGAATATTTTCAGAGGGGAAGAATGTGCTGAAGAGGCTTGGGTGGGACACGAGCGAGGAGTCAGCTTGGTTTTTCCCTTGGCCGGGCTTTGACCAAGCCGGAGGACCTATGTCCACCCATCTTTCCTGGTTGTGTTGGTCCACCTCGCCCGTCCTGCCACCCCTCGGGTCCAACCTGTGGGTTCCCCTGGGCTTTTGTGGTCGGCCGCGGGTGGTTTGGCCCTGGCACAGGCATGAGGAAAGGCGATCACGGAACTGGCGAGATGGTGTGGCCAGGACTGCAGGGAGTGAGGAGGAGCCTGGGTCCCAGCCGTGCAGAATCCAGACCAGTCCAGCCCCCAGCACTGCCTGTCTGGGATCCTTCGAGCCACGCGAGCAAGCCTGGAAAGCCCCAGAAACGCAAGCCCAGGCTTCTTTGCAGATATTCCACAGTGGGCTCTGGATGGCCCCGGGGAAGAAGTTCTTATTGGCTCAGGGCCTCAACTTCTCCATCTGGAAAATGGGGGGATAAATCCTTAGAACCTTGCTTTGTACTGCAGGGGAGCCCATGAGGTTAGGATGTGGTCCTGAATGTCCCTTGGGCACTGTGGGGGAGGGGTCAGTGGGGTCCAGCAGGGCAGTCACCCGTCTATGGGTGCTGGCAGAATCCTTGCCTGCCCTGGTCCTCTGTTTGTCATTCGTTGACGCCTCACTGGATAATGGCCTTCTCTCTGCGGCCAAGCTGCATCTCAGGAAGCCGGCCCAGTTGGGGGCTGAGAGATGGGCTGTTGTAGGGTTTGTGGCCACACAGAAGCCTCCCATGGTGACGGATGGTTGGAGGGGGCCTACTTGCTGGCAATGCCCTTGCCTCACGCACACCTCTGACGCACAGACCCGGGTAGGGAGAGGCGCGTTCTGCCCAGCTGGCTGAAGGGAGGAGTGGTTGAAGACTCCTGAAGGTCATGAGGCGCACAGGAAACAGTCTCCACGGCCTCCCCAGGGTGGGCCCTTGTGCCGATGCAGTGGGGGCCAGAAGACTCTTCAGAATAGACAATGAACTCCTTAGGAAAACCCAAGAAAGCGCTTGGGGAGGGCCTATGTGAAGGATCAGTGCACTTTTACCCGAGGCTGGGGGTGCAGGTCTCTGTCTTTGCCTGTGCGCTTTGAGAGGGGCAGGGGGTGGGGCAAGGCAGAGAGTGATCTCAGTTTCCTCTGGCAGAATACTGATGCTGGTTTGTCCAGGGGAAGCCCCACCTCATGCCGGGAACGGAGTCAGGTGCTGGGGTCTGAAGGCATGTCACACGTGGTCTCTGTCCTGCTTCTAAAGACCCTCTTGGGTCTGATCAGGCCCATCCGGTATGTCAGGCCCAGCGCCAAGCACCATTTACGTATTATCTCATTTAATCCTCCAAACCACTGGAGGGACCCAGATGCCAGCCTGCACACTCACCGTAACGGCCCGCTGCTCGCCGCGTGGGAGCGCGGGACAGAGCTATACCCGTATGCCGCGGGGGCGCAGGAAAGGGTCCGCTGCGGCCCAGGGCCGTCAGGGAAGGCAGAACAGGGATGATGGATAGGCCCAGAGAGGAGCTCACGGGGCGGGCATGGCAGGCAGAGTCTTTGGACAGAGGCTCACAAAGCAGGAGCAAGCCTGGTGCGTCCAGGGAGTCGTGCCTTGTTCTGGGGGCCTCACCCCATAGGCCCTGTGGCCCCGATGAGATCCATGGGGCACACACTGTGCGCCCCTTCCTGGAAAAGGGGACCTGTAGTTGCAGGAACTCAAGAGAGGCAGCAAGCCCTACCCTGCCCAGGGGAGTATGTAGCACACATGTTCCCAGAGTCAAACAGTGCAGGTGTAGGGAGTGAGAACGGGCTCACGGGAGCCAGGGGAGACATCTCTCTCAGAAGACCCGGTCGGCGCGGCTCACCTGCCCTTGTATTGCCTGGCTCAGTGCGCTGGGGTGGGTTGTGAAATCGTTTTACTGAGGTGCGTCTCCCACACCACCAGCCCACAAGTCCCACAGGGGCAGGGAGCCTGTCTGTTTGTTCGAGGCTGAGGCTCAGGCGAGTGGAGGGCACACAACAGGTGCTTAGTAAATACTTGCTTCATTTTAGGATCTGACGGTCCTCCCTACCCACCCACCTACGAAAGACAGCCTGGATCTCTTCCACAGAAAGAGGTTGACCCATCTGCCTCGGAGAGCTCCCGAAGGCCCAGCATACCCACCTCACCCCAACCCCCCGCCTCCCGGCCCAGCGAGACTTATCCACTGACACAGGCAGCAGGAAAGATACCATCCTGGCTTTAAAGAGCCTTTGCAGGATGCCCCTTCTCTTATTCACCCGTCCCTGGAAGGTTTATAAGGGTTTTCAATTTTCTCCCTGGTCATTCTCAGGGATCTAGAGTATAGAGAAATGAGGGATTTGCCAGGAAGGGGCCCGTTCCCAGCAGTAGAAAGGAAGTTGGTAGTGACACAGGGCAGTAAACTTTTTTTTTTCTTTTAGGCCAAAAGGGATTCCACAGATCATAATGGTCCACCTCTCAGATTTTAGTCTGAAGGTAGTTGCTGTTACTATTATTTCCAATAACGATAATTATAGTTTTACCGCCCTTACCTTTAAAGGGGGCCACCCCACTGCGGGAGGGCCTGCTACGGAAGAGGTTTGTTTATTCATTCCACAAATATTGGATGCTTGGTGGGGTGCTGGACTCTGGGGATCCGGTGGTGGCTAGACAGCCCCTGCCCACATGGAACATTCCATCCGGCAGGGAATGAATACCACGGATCAGCTCCTGTCCTAAGAACATGACAAGTTTAGCTCACATATTCCTCCCAACAAAACCTGTGAGGCAGGTACTATCATTAGCCCTGTTTTCAGATGAAGAAACTGAGGTCAAGTGTATCACAAAGGTATACAGTAGTGTAGGAGGGATTTGAACCCAGGTTACTGGCTCTGGAGTTCTCACAGGAGGCCAAGGGATCTAGGAGTGGGTCTATACACACACACACACGCACACACACACAGCCAGGCAAAGAAAGGACACAGATATGGAAATATCCAGAGCATAGAAGAGTAGGTAGGACTGGGGGAAAGAGGGGGGCAGACAGTAAGCCCTGAATTCCAGTTGCTATCCTTGTTATCCAAGCTTACCCATCGGTTGCTCACCCCTTCGCAAGGAAAAGGACCCAAATCCCAGGCCATTTTCCCCGGACTTGGAACAGCCAGGACCACGGTAGCTGGCCTACACCGTCAGTCCTGGCAGGCTGGACATATGGGG